TTGATGTAATGTTTCATTTGTTATGAAAATCGATTAGTCTTCACTGAAGCTGACCTAAACAACTTGAAGACTGAAACTTTAAAACTGCTTTGAGATTCTAACTATCCCCTTCAACAAAAGAATGAGTTCAAAGCACTCAACAAGCAATTATATCCCTTATCCATATACTCATAATGCTACATAGGAAGTTGTAGGACAAACAATTCTATGTTGAAAACCATGAAACCAACATTTACTATATTTAAAAAAAAAATGAAATAACTGATAGACAGGTAATTGAAATATGCAGAAAAACAGCATTTATCATAAAATGTATACATTTCTGACAGGATAAATCCACTGGATGATTAGGACATCCCCTGGAGTCATAACGGATAAATATGCACTGTAAATGGTCTTGGAGTCCTACATTCAGTGTTTATAGAGAAATATGGCTCCAACCTTGTCTATCAGTGATCAAGTCAGAAATAACCATCTGTACAAATGACTGGAATAATTGTTATCATTATCAAAATAATAGTCCAAGATGCCCCAAATCTGTGCCTACAGGGGGGAATAGTTGAGCCAAGGCTGGCCAAATACAATGTTTATTCCTAACACAGAATATTTACCATCCCTAAACACTCTTGCATGACAGCCTCTATATCAGCATATATTTCCAGGCTGAAATAGGCATGCCTATTATCATGGACAATAACCACTCAATGTTATCTGCATAACAAAACACTGGACCATGATGTTATAGACGTGACGGAGGGGGTGAATACCCTCCATATACTTCAACAACACATGTAATATACACCTCGTATCAATCGAGTAAGTAGTACAGGTAAACAACTCCTTTGTCTGAAATCCACACAGCTGATATGGGCATACAATACAGCATTTCCGCCTGCTTTGAGTAAGGCACAATCTGAATGTAGAGAGCATGTTGGTAGGGGAGGGAGGAGGATTAACCAATCAATTCTGTCAGCATCAGGTGCAGTATGCACGTCGCTGAGGAGTGCATATACCGCTGCCTCCAATGTCAATACATCGACTAACATTGACTATAGAGCCATTCAATACTGACGAAAAATGAGTCAGTATAAACTACATTTCAAACCCATTGTGTGGTAACAAGTGGTAACAGGGGTCAACACCATATGTCAGATCCAACAAATCGGCTGCTCATTTGCGATTTGTGGTTATGTGAAATAGCTAGATTTAGATGGATAACTAAGCGGCACCTGGATTTCACTGGTCTGTGACTAGTGGGTGTGTCCTTCCCTGTCAGTATGAAATAGCTAATTAATATAGTTACTGGCCTTATGATGTTACATACATGATACAGGTATGTGAATGTTACTCATTTCTACGAGTCTGATTATAATTACCATTCATTTCTTCAAGACAAAAGATTGTGCCAGTGGGATAAATGATGACAACATGTAATCCCTGCAATCAAGTTATTTTATATTTAAAATATCTACACAAGAAAAATTAAAAATCCAGATAGAGCCCAGAAGAATGCTTAATTAATTATACAGCTGAGGTGATGATCCAGCTTGCCAAATCATTCTCCACCATTCTTTTTTTTCAATATATTCTTAAGGGCCTGGGGAAACTGGGTTAAATGTTGATTGTGGAAATATTCCTGCAGTGTCTTAGAGGGAATGGTCATGGTTCCAATGTTGGAATCAAGCACAGGTCTTGAATAAGCCAATGAGAAAAGCTGTAACCACTGAGCTATGACAATCACCCTCACAGAGGAATTGCTAGCTGGCACAAACCCATCACAACCCAAGAAGAGAAAGCAAGTCTCCATTTACCCTACAATCCATTTTGTTGTTGACAGTTAAAAGTGACTCATTGTTTAAGATCATATGTAAGTGGAGACCAATTTTATGACTTCATCATCCATGAGTCAACAATAACACCTAAATATTTACTTATAAACACACACTTACGATGACTGTTGACTGCTTTAGAATCACTCTGTACACAGTAACAAGTAACAATGCAGTAGATCAGTTAGTACACTACACCATGCCTCATAAGCAATATCACACACCAGGTCAAAACTGACATGATAAAAGCACTACAACCCAACCCTGCCATAGACGGTAACAATACATCAATACCTAATGTTCACTTTATGCATTTGAACATTTTGTGATGTATTAGATGTGTCAGATGAAGAAATGTTTATTGGAAAATTAATATGTTAACTTTTTTTCATGTTTGCTTCCATGACGAATTAAAAAAATTACACAAATAATTCATGGATAGGTAGAATTAAACATTCAGTATCACATGGCCAGACAATATTACTTAGCTGTCATTTAACAGAATATATCCTTCAGCTATTATATGAATTGGAAATGTCATTTAGATAATACATGGAGAGGAAAACAGGCAATGTCATGGCAATATCACATCTAAAAGCAGTGTAATCTTAAAAATAAATGGATAGGCAATGTAATTTAGATATTACATGGTAAGGCAATGTAATTTAGATATTACATGGTAAGGCAATGTAATTTAGATATTACATGGTAAGGCAATGTAATTTAGATATTACATGGTAAGGCAATGTAATTTAGATATTACATGGTAAGGCAATGTAATTTAGATATTACATGGTAAGGCAATGTTATTTAGATATTACATGGTAAGGCAATGTAATTTAGATATTACATGGTAAGGCAATGTAATTTAGATATTACATGGTAAGGCAATGTAATTTAGATATTACATGGTAAGGCAATGTTATTTAGATATTACATGGTAAGGCAATGTTATTTAGATATTACATGGTAAGGCAATGTTATTTAGATATTACATGGTAAGGCAATGTAATTTAGATATTACATGGTAAGGCAATGTTGTTTAGATATTACATGGTAAGGCAATGTTATTTAGATATTACATGGTAAGATAATGTTATTAAGATATTACATGGTAAGGCAATGTTATTTAGATATTACATGGTAAGGCAATGTAATTTAGATATTACATGGATAGGCAATGTAATTTAGATATTACATGCTCAGGTAATGTAATTTAGTTATTACATGGATAGGCAATGTAATTTAGATATTACATGGTAAGGCAATGTTATTTAGATATTACATGGTAAGGCAATGTTATTTAGATATTACATGGTAAGGCAATGTAATTTAGATATTACATGGATAGGCAATGTAATTTAGATATTACATGCTCAGGTAATGTAATTTAGTTATTACATGGATAGGCAATGTAATTTAGATATTACATGGTAAGGTAATGTTATTTAGATATTACATGGTAAGGTGATGTTATTTAGATATTACATGGTAAGGCAATGTTATTTAGATATTACATGGAGAGGCTATGTATTTTAGATATTACATGGAGAGGCAATGTAATTTAGATATTACATGGATAGGTGATGTAATTTAGATATTACATTGATAGGCGATGTAATTTAGATATTACATGGTAAGGCGATGTCATTTAGATATTACATGGTAAGGCGATGTAATTTTGATATTACATGGATAGGCACCATCAATTCAGTATCACATGGATAGGTACCATCAATTCAGTATCACATGGAAAGACAATATCATTTGAAAGATCTTGGACAAACATCAGCAATAACTTTGACACTAAACGTAACACTTAAAAACAATGGTCAATTCTTTTTAACATTTTATATGAGTTCTGTTGAAACAAAGTATGCCAGATATGTGGATCATAAGCACGTATCTCTCCAGCCATGTTGAGCAGCTAGCTAAGTCAGCACATGGATATCTTTGAAGATGAATCCAAACAAACAGAGTCCACACATGCAGAGACCAACTCAGTGATCAAACATACAATAAAGGGACCTGGCCCCACTAACAGAGGAATCAACCCCGAAAGAAGAAACAGGCATTCTATACAAAGCTTTTTTTCATGTTTCCATAGCCGGGGAGTGACCCTGCATCATCTAAATAATGCTAGTAAGTAAACGCACAAAGCCCCGCGGCAGCCTGCCTGACCAGATATCTGGCTATCTGACGGACATAAGATGGGGGTATCCTGGGGACCATCTCCCCAGTGTCAGGATAATCTGTGGCTATTATCTCACAGTGTTTATTTGCAAGTACAACTGGTCAGAGTGATTTAGACTCTGGTATTACCTAGTGCACTGCCACCTGACACTGTACAGCAGGTGATCTGGCTGATTGTACCCAGGCTTGAATCCGTGCCTACCTTTTCAGTAACCTTGATGGTTATCTCTTCCACATACAAACTTGGAGCCTTATCTCCATGGCTGGGCAACGTTATGGAGTATACCATCCAAGTTCAAAAGATCAGTCATCAAACGATGTAGGCCTGTAACTCTATCTTACATTATTCCAGCAGACCCAGGAGACTTGCTGGACTGTCTTGGTGTTGTTAACAAGTGGCCATAAAGAGCTGTCCTCTCTTTCAGGTCTTAGTAACCTTGAAGAGAGAGACTAGTCTGCTGATCATAAGGAGTTGATACATGACGAACCGTAATCCACAGTTGTGATGCTATCACTTATATAGGTGGAATTGTTACTGTCTGTACCAAGAATATTAGACTATCAGCTGAAGATACACAATGTAACATACCACATCATACATGTATCTCATCACCGGTGTATAACACTGTAATCTGGATGCTGCATTATACGATGTATCACAACTCTGATTGTGTAATACATATTGTATCGAAATACTGATGTATCATATGCATTATATCAAATTCCTAATACTGCAATATACGTATCACACATCTTTTTATTGTGTATTTTGTAATATACATCGTTTGGAATCCTGACTACAATATGTATCCCATTGCACCCCAGGTGTAATACTAACATATGAGCTGCTATTGAAGCTTTATACAGCCACAACAGCGATACAATAGAACAGTCCGACCATGTCTTATATTCATTGTTTACACTATGCACATATACTTTTCAGAGACAATAATATATATTATCATCATCATTACTCACCTGCATTTTTTCAAAGTCGAGACAGGGCCTCTGAATCACAGTCTTGGGATCCAAATCAGTTGGGCAATCAGAGGTAGAGAGTTGTCGGTGCCGTTTCCGTGGCGATATGGCTGCCACCACTGCTGTGGGACTCACATTGGCAAGAAAGAACTTAGCCTGTGGTGAGGAGTGGAGTTTTTGAACACCCGAGGGTGGGGAAGCACTGAGTACAACCGGTTGAGGTTTAAGGAGTTCACGCACTTCTTCATCTGAGGATCCAGCACTGTCACCAACACTCCCACGATTCACTTGTGACCACTTCCTCTTCTCAGCTACAGCTTCACGATTATTTATCTCAATAAGTTCCTCTTCTGAGCTATGTCTTTCAAAATCCCACCCATGTCCATCTAAATCTGAAGTGTAGCTGATTGAGTCCAAACTATTGACAGTAAGTTCATGTGTTCTCATGCCGTCCATCTCCCCGAAGCCCACTGACACCGGGCTGGGAGGATGGTTCACAGGGGACGCCGACCCGTAGCTGGACGTGTCATGATGGGCCCGGTCCTCGTCTAAATCTGAAGGAGGGAAAAAAAGTTCAAATTAATAAGAATATTTTCATATAGAACAATTGACAAGGAAGGATGCAATACGGAAAATGTCACTTGTCGAACTAGGTACATACACAAGAGTGACTGAAACAGTAACAACGTGCATGCATGCATGTATGCAGCAATATGTATATGTAACATGTTACATTTTGGATTACATTTTCTCAGTGAAGTACAGAACCTAGTACAATGTTCCAACAAAAGTACGAGAATCTGTACTTTACTGAAAAACTGTAATCCCACATATAACATGTTACATTTGACCACTTTCTGAATGGCATTGTGTAGTCAATATATGCTCGCTGCGCAGCCTGCAAGATAGTAAAAACATATTGTCACTTTGAGGAACTTCTTTTGGACACAATAGCTGTGCTTGCAAAGGCTGGGTGAGGCTGACGAATGCGTGTTGTGAGATTGTGTGTTCCTCCAGAATGTCACCATAGCATCACAGCAACAACCTACCACCATGTCTTGTCTGTCAAACTGCCCTTCATGATTCTGAACGCCAACATGTCTGTGTTCCCCCTTTTCTTGATAAAAGCCCAAGAAATAACATACAGACAAGCCTTCCCATCAAGATATACCACAAATATTGGTCATGGTTTGTGGCAGGGTCTACAAAAGTCTCAGCAATATGCTGCAATCTTTTTGAAAACCCAATCCAACTAGAAATTCTCACAAATTTCATGTAGGGATCTATATGAATACCTTTTTCCAATTGATCTTCATATATATAAATAATTTTATCAGTTTATTCCTATTCATGAGACAGGGTATGTGACTACTTACAGCTTTAATCCAGGTGGGGTGGTGGTTGGGGAAAATCTAATCTTTCTAATCTAGCTGCTGAGGGAACGACTAGACTGTCCCTTACAGCTCCCATACACAGCAGGAAGCATGAACAGCAGCTTGAATAAACACATACATACATCCTTGTATATATACCCAGGTCAATCGTCTATTGGAGAGAACAACGCATGTATTTGCTTTGTGTCAGTGCACGAGTGTGACAGCTATTATTATGGTTGGCCGAGGAAGCCTTCAGTATGTTCAAAGAAAGAAATAATATTTATTACTTAGGCCAGACCAATTTTATTTCTTGTTTTACAGATCCGCCAATCTCATTTTTTTCAAGAATAAATGAAAAAAACATGAATTAATATTATTTTCCCCATCCACACAAAAAAATCCTAATGTTAATGTGATATAAGTGAAATACTCTTGAAATCAGTGTGAAACCTAAACTCACTCAACTTATTTTTAGTTGATATAAACAAACCAAAAGACATGCAAACTCATGTGGGTTTGTGCTTTGACTGGTGATTTTTTTTTTTCCCCTCCTGCCTTTAGGTTTTCTGAAGACAAAAATCGGTAAAACAAGAAATTAAATTGGTCTTGCCGTATCAAAAATTATAGGAAATGCCCTAGCAGTACTGGACTGCTCCAGTCTTTGATTTGAAACCCTGTGATAATGTAGCCAAGCTCATGTTGTACAGTCTAATAGCTGTCAGACATATGACCTGTCCCTAAATGGGAATATTGGATAAATGTAACCTTTCCTGTCCACAGACTTGCAAAAGTTTCCACGAATTAGTTATTAGTTTCAAATGATAATTCCTAGATTATACGAGTATTAATAACCAACTGACCCGATTAGAGATTGGTATCCTTGGTGATGTCTCGAGACTTATGGATAGAATTACTATATGTCCATGTACTTGGAGTCAGTAATGACTTTAAACAGGGTACATTTCCTATACCAGTGATACATTAACTGTAAAACAATCTGAGATGAGCTGTCATAAATGATTAGAAAAATGAAATGAATACTGTTTTTGTCACAGCATTTGAATGTATTATTTGCCAGTTAATAGAACTTGATATGATTGCTTTTACTTTTCATGTTTGCTTTTTGAGTGACCATAGGAGGTTGGATTTCACAGCTAAATGTTAGTTGGCTAAAGGTACACTTTCTCATTTACATATAGAAAATAAATAGTGTCATGTATCCATCACATCGATTAAATGATGAAAATAGAAGTTCAGATGGGTATTTAGTTTCATGCCCCTGTAGAGGGGCAAGAAATAACGACAATTAAACTTCACAGATATACTCATTGGGAATCAAACCCAGACCTTCAACCTGTAGGCTTCTACTTAAACCACCAAGGTGCCTGACCACCTCAGTAGGGCAATAGTCAGCTGAAGCATCAATATCCTTAATGAAGACCAATGTTCCCTTGGATCAACAGTCACTGAGGGAAGCCAAAGGCTACATGGAGTAGTTGCAATGGACAACACAATCAGGCTAGTGTAAACTTTGGCAATTTTCCCAAGAATTATTGCAAATCACCATCTAAAGGAGGTTTCCCCAAGAGAAAACACTCAAATTTCACTCCTTGATAAAGTCCTGAAGTCAGCTCAAACTCAGCAACAGATGCAATAAACCCATCTTTATTTCATCATTTCTTTAAATGTAATAGCTGCAATCTGTTTGTCGCTGTGTTTGCTTATTAATCCCTAAGTCTTCCTGGAGCTGCACTCACAACGAAGGACACTCAAGCTAAATGGCACAAAGTGATTGGCTCCCGAGAGTGTTCGCCTTTAACAATCAATATGGTCAGGCTCACCTCATCCCTCGTCTTGTCGGAGCTTTAAAAGGAAGCCCTTTCTTATGACAATTTCGCTTCCATTAGAACAGCGATTGAGTATTAATACAGGCCTTCGCTAACTCCTTTTAATTGATGTGAACAGTGAACGCCTTTTTTCCTTTGCAACATTCGCAGCAGTATAAAGGCAGCAGTATAAACAAAGCGGACTTTGACTCACGGAAAGGCTGACAAGGGGAAGATATGGGATTTCATTGTTTGTCCATCATGAATGCAAGATTTGGATATGGATTACGCGGCCTTGAGATACAAAATATTAGGATTGTCGCACTGGTATGGATGGTGTTTATGCAACTTGTCACACAACCACCTCTGATCACAGGCCTTCTTAGTCACAATTTATATAAATTTGTTCAAGGATGGGACTCCAAGGGATAAAATTTGTAAATTGATGCCAATGTGGCCCCATGTTATGCAGACAACTGTGAAGCCTGCACTATATAAAACCCACACCCTGAGATGGTCCGAGGTCATTGTCCTGCAGATCAAACTAATAAATAGATTGTTTTTAACTTAATTTGATTTTCATTTACTAAAACTGTTTTTTTATATAATACAGAGCCTGCAAATGCACATAAAAAATATTTCATTTAAGACATTCACTTCTTGTGTCTAATCAACTTAGTGACCAGTAAAACCTTTGTCACAAGAAACAAAACTGATCCAACACTGAATAGTTTAGATTAATGACAAATGAATTTATAATGATAAGGAATTGGAGTGTGGTGTTTAACACTGCTTGGTTGCCTACTGATTCACCCTTTAGATCATAGTTCTGTGAGTGAGTTAATGTCAACTGCCTCACCAGCAGTGAGGTCACATGCAAAGCAAGTTGTCCCTGTATCCTCAGAAGTTAAAGTGCCTGGTATACAGACTATCTAGAGGGCTTTACATTCATATACTAGAGGGTTAACTTCAGGATCCTCTCCATACAAAGTCATCCCATTTAGCAAAAGGAGCAAAATGCTGATTCACCAACCCATCTTTGACAAATGCATAAATTTGTAAAGTCAAAACAACAATCTCGAAGCTTGCAACTTAAGGAAAGTATTCAGCCCACACACGGGAGGGGTCTGTTTGTCCCCATGAAGTAATGACCTGGTCAGCCAAGGGTTATTTAGGCCAGGTGTCGGCAATAAACAGTACATCAACTTGTGCAAACACACGCTAAACGCAGGACCTAACGGGACACTTTCCCTGTGCCTCTGTGCAAGTGGCCATTGCTTTGCTCCATACCTTGTGCTCACACAATGCGAAAGGATCCAGTTTTGCTGTAGGAGGGCACACAACAGCACACACGCACAAACACTGCCTCTCTCTCACCTCATAAACAATCAAATACACCACAACAAAATATTTTTTATGGGTTAAAAACATGCTGGTTACGTTAGAAAATCACATGAGCACTTTGAACAGCTCGGGTTTCCTAACTTCACAATGTTACCCATTTTCCATACCATTAGCTGTAGTAGCAGGTTACCTGCCATAACTGCACTGTTCATAGACCTGGAAATTGTGTGAACCTGTTTTCTGGCAATGAATTTAACAATTAATGAGAGTGGTTGAATTAGCCTCACATAAACATGGCATTTTCTTGTAAAAACATACATTTCTTAAAAATTAAATACTTACAAGGTTTGTATATTTAAAGATGAAACAAAGAAAAATTATCAGGGGTGTTTTTTTGCAAAGGAATTGATTTTTTACCAATCTTGTTAATAAGACACACATATACACCTTCACTCACTCACTCTCCCAGACAATGAGACACACATTTACACCCTCACTCACTCAGACAATGAGACACACACATTTACACCCTCACTCACTCAGACAATGAGACACACACATTAACACCCTCACTCATTCAGACAATGAGACACACATTTACACCCTCACTCACTCACTCAGACAATGAGACACACAAATTTACACCTTTACTCACTCATTCAGACAATGAGACACACATTTACACCCTCACTCACTCACTCACTTACTCACCCTCACATACATACACTCACGCTCAGAATTCCTGTCCCTGAGAAATGTTGGGAGCGTGCCACAGAGGCTACCGACAAAAGGAGTCCGTTGAGATCTCTCTGTACAGTAAAGATTTACACAATAATGTGTATGTGATGCCTAGTCGGTAGCATGCCAAGATACCATCAAAGGCACTGCTGACCATTTAATATATCAGCAGTGGCGAGAGCTGTTCCCAGGGGGCCACCTAGCACTCCATATACAACAATACAACACTACTTGCCACGTCATTCTAACATACTGTGGAAACACTTCATC